AGGACGAAATCTGAGGTAGATGACAGAAAAATGATCAGACAAAAGCAGAAAACAAGATGCCACAGAAAGAGTTATGACAGCCAAGTATACCTCTAGAGGACAGGTCCAAGGATGAGTGTTAGGAAAAACTAGTTAAGAACAAAGGCAAGAGGGGACAGCACTGTGGTGTAGTGGGTTACGCTGCGACCTACAATTCTCCAGCATCCTATATGCATGGCGGTTTGATTCCCAGCTGCTCCACTTCTGATTCAGCTCCCTGCTATTGAGCCTGGGAAAGTAGTGTAAGATGGCCCAGGTGCTGGGGCCCCTTCTTCCACATGGAAGATCTGGATAAAGCACCTGTCTCCTGGCTTTGGTCTGACCCAGCTATTTGGAGAATGAACCAGCGGATAGAAATTGTCTCTCCCTCTCTCTCTCTAACTTTGTCAGAGTTACACAGAGAGAGAAGGAGAGGCAGACAGAGAGAGGTCTTCCATCTGCTGGTTCACTCTCCAATTGGCCGCAATGGCTGGAGTTGCACCTATCCGAAGCCAGGAGCCAGAAGCTTCCTCTAGGTCTCCCACACTTTGGCTTTCCCAGTTGGATCGGAAGTGGAGCAGCCGGGAATTGAACCAGTGCCCCTATGGGATGCTGGCACTGCAGGTGGCAGCTTTTTTTTTTTTTTTTTTTTTGTTTGAACAGGCAGAGTGCACAGTGAGAGAGAGAGACAGAGAGAAAGTCTTTCCTTTGCGGTTGGTTCACCCTCCAATGGCCGCCGCGGCTGGCGCGCTGCGGCCAGCGCACCGCACTGATCCGATGGCAGGAGCCAGGAGCCAGGTGCTTTTCCTGGTCTCCCATGGGGTGCAGGGCCCAAGCACCTGGGCCATCCTCCACTGCACTCCCTGGCCACAGCAGAGGGCTGGCCTGGAAGAGGGGCAACCGGGACAGAATCCGGCGCCCCGACCGGGACTAGAACCCGGTGTGCCGGCGCCGCTAGGCGGAGGATTAGCCTAGTGAGCCGCGGCGCCGGCCGCAGGTGGCAGCTTTACCTTCTATGCCACAGCACCAGACTCAATAAATAAATCTTTACGGGCCGGCGCCGCAGGTGGCAGCTTTACCTTCTATGCCACAGCACCAGACTCAATAAATAAATCTTTACGGGCCGGCGCCGTGGCTCACTAGGCTAATCCTCCACCTTGCGGCGCCGGCACACCGGGTTCTAGTCCCGGTCGGGGCGCCGGATTCTGTCCCGGTTGCCCCTCTTCCAGGCCAGCTCTCTGCTGTGGCCAGGGAGTGCAGTGGAGGATGGCCCAAGTGCTCGGGCCCTGCACCCCATGGGAGACCAGAATAAGTACCTGGCTCCTGCCATTGGATCAGCGCGGTGCGCCAGCTGCAGCACGCCGGCCGCGGCGGCCATTGGAGGGTGAACCAACGGCAAAGGAAGACCTTTCTCTCTGTCTCTCTCTCTCACTGTCCATTCTGCCTGTCAAAAAAAAAAAAATAATAATAATAATAAAAAATAAATCTTTAGGGGCCGGCACTGTGGTACAGGTTAGTCCTCTGCCTGCAGTGCCAGCATTCCATATGGGCACCAGTTCTAGTCCTAGATGCTCCTCTTTGGATCCAGCTCTCTACTGTGGCCTGGGAAGACAGTGGAGTCCTGGCTCCTGACTTCAGACCTGCCCAGCTCTGGCTGTGGGGAATGAGCCAGCGGATGGAAGACCTCTCTGCCTCTCTCTGCCTCCCTCTCCCTCCCTCTCTAACTCTGCCTTTCAAATAAATAAATAAATTAAAAAAAAAAATATGGAAAGAGACACAGCCCCAGTAACAGGAAGAAAAAGCCAAGAAAGAACTTACATGGAAGGATAACAGAGTTTCAGGTATATATAAAGAAATTCAGACACAGGATTACAACAGTTGGGTGGAGTGACATGGAGCCTTCTGGTCTATAACTCTGAGGACTTTTAAATACACTGCATTTTTACAGCAATCAACATGTGCTTGTCCTGTTCCCACCTGAACAGTGTCTATAAGATCCAGATGCTGGGGCCAGCATTGTGGTGCAGTGGGTTAAGCTGCTGACTTCAACACTGGCATCCCACATGGGTGCCAGTTCCTGTCCTGGCTGCTCCACTTTCAATCCAAACCCTGCTAATGGCCTGCGAAAAGCAGTGGGAGATGGCTCCAGTCTTTGGGCCCCTGCCACCCACATGGGAGACTCAGATGAAGCTCCTGGCTCCTGGCTTCAGCCTTGTCCAGCACGAGCATTGCAGCCATCCGGGGAATAACTCAGTGGATGGAAGATCTCTCTATATATCTGTAACCCTGACTTTCAAAATAAATAATTAATGTTAAAAAAAAAAAAAAAAAAAAGGGCCAGATGCTTCCAGAGCTTTCTAGGTGCAAGAATGGTCCCTGCTTTCAAGGAATTAATATGTACCTGGCACACCAACTTGCAGACAAGTGTTTCAGATCAGACAGAACTTAGAAAGCTGTTTCATTTCTAGGCTATGCTCTCAACTAAGTGAATATATATTCAATGATCCAGAGGGGAATCCCATTTTTTTTAAAAATAAACTTGGACAAATCTGCTCTTCCTGTTGGTAGAACAGGAAAGCCAAGACTTCCCTTACAATGTGACCCCAGTGACTTTACTAGTCACTGGTTGGAGGGCAGTCATATACCAGCCTGAGTGGGGCAGGAATCAACATCCCCATTTCATAGGGGCTCATGGATGCTAACAGGGACAGAAACAGGACCATACATGGGGCTGATGTTAAGGCCAGTCTGCTCTCTGCTTACAGCAGTTCATGCACTCACAACCAGGCCTGGCAAAAACTGCAGGAGTTCTCCTGGCCTCTCCTACAAGTACTGAAGTCAAACTTCTCACTAGAAAAAGAAGCATGTAGAGAGTGAACTTCCTGGTCACAGCAGACCCTACTGATTAAGCAGCACCTGAGGACAGGTCTCCCAGGCCTACCAACTTAGTCCTCAGATCGTGTACCTGCACGAAGAAACCAAGGATCCTCATGCATACCCTGCTTCTCCTTACAGCAGAAATACAGAAAGAAAACTGATGGGGTTGGGACACAGACCCCAGAAGCCCCTAGCCATTCTTGCTTCTTCTTGTTTATATTTAAAGCCTAAAGACTACCTTTTCCCAAGACCATTCATCAGAAAACAGTAAGTTTGTTGTTACCAAAGCCCAGGGTTTCCTCTTTTCTCTTACACAGCTTGGAAATGGTCTCTGTGCAGGGTCTTTTTTTTTTTTTTTTAAGATTTATTTATTTATTTGAAAGTCAGAGTTACACAGAGAGGGGAGGGGGAGGGGGAGGGGGAGAGGGAGTCTTCCATCCGATGGTTCACTCCCCAGATGGCTGCAATGCCCAGAGCTGCGCCGATCCGAAGCCAGGAACCAGGAGCTTCTTTGGAGTCTCCCAAGCGGGTGCAGGGGCCCAAGGACTTGGGCCATCTTCTACTGCTTTTCCAGGCCACAGCAGAGAGCTGGATTGGAAGAGGAGCAGCCGGGACTAGAACTGGCGCCCATATGGGATGCCGGCGCTTCAGGCCAGGGCGTTAACCTGATGTACCACAGCACTGGCCCCAGTCTCTGTGCAGATTCTAAAATCCAACAATGAGACTAAGCCTCCAGAAATCTACCTCTGGCACAGCTGACCCCACCAGCCTGCATTTATGCCACAGGGTTAGTAAGGAGTCAAGTGATTCCCCTTGAACGAATCCTCTATTAAAGCATTGGTTTAGGTCTACTTTTAAATTCAACCTAGGGGGTGGGGGAGGGCAATGTGGTGCAGTGGGTTAAACTGCCACTTGGAACAGCCTACGTCCCATATCAGAGTGCTTGGGATTAAGTCCTGCTTCTATTTCTTTCTTTCTTTCTTTCTTTCTTTTTTTTTTTTTTTTTTGGTCTCCACTTAAAAAAGAAAGACAATGCCTTGCATCCAGGAGGTTTAAAATAATTGTTGCAGGAGTGTTTACTGGCTTGTTTTTACACTAAATTAGATTCTGATTTATATCAGGTAAAGAGCAGAATTTGCCCATAGTTGCCAGTAAGGAGAAATCCACAGGAAGTAAAGAACAGCTCAGCACACACCTTGCCTAGTCAGGGATGAGAGGTGGTTGAGCCCACAGCTTCCCTGGGGGGTGGAGATGTGAGCAGGCTGTCCCCCAGATCCTGCCAGGGGAGCCCAGCGCAGTCAGGGAGCCTCTCACCCGCTGGCAATGCAAGGCTGCAGTGCAGCAGGAAGGGTGTGTGCTCACCCTAGTCAAGCGGACAAAACATGGGAAACAGGGGCCTTGCACTCAGTCTCTGGCCTTCCTGTGGTGCTGTGCACCACAGCAATGGAAGAACAAAAGCATCAATCACAGCCAACTTCCCAGGGCCTGGGGAATGTTGACTTTGAACATGGACCTCACAGAAGCAAACCGTATATAACCAAACTGAAATGTCATCTTCAGCCCCTTCCTTATTTATTTTTTTGTTTTAAGATTTATTTATTTATTTGAAAGGCAGAGTTACAGAGAGGCAGAGGCAGAGAAAGAGAGAGGTCTTCTATCCACTGGTTCACTCCCTAAATGGCTGCAGCAACCAGAACTGGGCCGATCTGAAGCCAGGAGCCTGGAGATTCTTCCAGGTCTCCCACATGGGTACAGGGGCCCAAGCACTTGGGCCATCATCTACTGCTTTCCCAGGCCATAGCAGAGAGCTGGAATGGAAGTGGAGCAGCTGGGCCTCGAACCAGTGCCCACAGTGGATGGTGGTGGCTTTACCCACTATTCCACAGCACTGGCTCCCCTTCCTTAATTTTGATTCAGGTACTTACTAACGAGTGGTGGGGAAGGTTGTGTTATGGAGACCGACAAGCATCCCTTAGCCCTCCTCCAGGAGTGAGGGCTGTCCCAGAGTGCTACCACTTGCAGAAGCAGACCCAAGAAGAGCACTGCCCCTCAGAGGACAGCCCAGGAGTAACCATCTGCACCTGCTCTGGCCTTTCAGCCCGTACCTAGTGCCTTCACGGATATCTGCCGTGTGAGCGGTGGCGGGATGTTGATGCACACCAGGTCCACATCTTGATGCAGCAAGACGTCGTCGGTCCGGCTGGTGTAGAAGGTGATGTTCATCTCCTCGGCCAGCTGCTTTGCCTCCTCCTCAGTCTTCCCCCACAGAGCCTCCACAGTGAACCCTTCTGCCCTCAGCAGCGGGACCAGGACCCGGGCGGAACTGCCAGTCCCAAACACACCTACTCCTGGCAGCATCTTCATCCCGGCCTCTGCTCACCAACTCATCTCCTCACAAGTGCCTCCAGCATGGGTCCGAGATCCCTGCAGGCATGGTCAGACATGGCTCCTGGAACAGCAATATCACGCTGGTTAGCAGTGCTGGGCAAACTTGGCAGAAGCAACCTTCTTGGCTTACTTGGAAGCAACAAATTCTCCACCAGAAAAACAAAGCAGAGACGAGTTACTCTAAAATTAAAGCTGAGAAACGGTCTTCCGGGGAAGACATCCACCGCCTGGAATTCAGGGAAGGAAGAAAACACAAAGTGGCTAAAGCTGGCTTCAAATTCCTGTTCTGCAACTTCATTTTCTCTGGAACCTGAGCCAAATCATTCAACCCTGAGGGCCTAACTAGAAAATACTGATCTTCTAAGTTCTTACAGTTAGAATTCTATGGTTCTACTTTACTGTATGGCAAAGAGTGGGAAACAAAAACTAGTAACAGAGGAAACAAATTATCTAGTTGCTATATAAATTAATCTTAATTTCAAATATTATGGTGGCAAGCAGAGGAAAATGTTCACTTAGGAACAAAAAATACCAAAAATCCCCCCCCCACACACATTCTTTTATTTCTTTTTAATATTTATTTATTTGAAAGTCAGAGTTACACAGAGAGAGAAGGAGAGGCAGAGAGAGAGGTCTTCCATTCGATGGTTCACTCCCCAATGGCCGCAATTGCCAGAGCTGCACCAATCTGAAGCCAGGAGCCAGGAGCTTCCTCCAGGTCTTCCCATGTGGGTGCAGTGGCCCAAGGGCTTGGGCCATCCTCTACTGCTTTCCCAGGCCATAGCAGAGAGCTGGATTGGAAATGGAGCAGCCGGGTCTCAAACTGGCGCCCATATGGGATGCCGGCACTGCAGGCAGTGGCTTTACCTACCACACCACAGTGCCAGCCCCTCACACACAATCTTTTCAACTAGCAAGCCGGCCAGAAGAAAAAATATGCTTAAAAAAGATTTTTTTTTTGTATAAAGACATTCACTGTGCTATTGACTGCAATAGGGCAAAAATGGGAAACAATCCAGATGTCCAATAAAAATAATGCATTAGCTAAATAATGCTTTGGAGCTACTGAAAACCATTAAGTAGACACTGCAATGATCTGAAAGACATTCACCATATAGCCATTGAGAAGGAGAAAACCAACTATCTGAAGTATGCTTTAAAAAAGGGACACAAGGGAGCTGGCATCATGGCATAGCAAGTACAGCCACTGCCTGTGACGCCAGCATTCCATACGGGTGCTGGCATGTCCTGGCTGCACCATTTCCAGTCCAGCTCCCTGCTAATGGCCTGGAAAAAGCAACGGAGGATGGCACAAGTGTTTAGGCTCTTGCATCCACATGGGAGACACGGATAAAACTCTAGGCTTCTGGCTTCAGCTTGGCCCAATCTTAGCCATCCTAACATGGGGCAAACTCACATGTTTATGGTGAGGCTGATGTCAACACACCTACCACACTGCCACTCATATAAGAGGATAGCATATACAATTATGTACGGTGTGTAATAATTGATAATGATAAATGACGATGTTACCAGTTGATGTGTTTGTTTACTTTATCATTACATGATACTCCACCTAGCTATAAATAAAAGCTTACTATAAGGTAGCCTGCTCTGTGACACTGGCAGCAGCCTCATCTGTCTCCTGTTTACCAAGGACCTTCATTGCATTATTTTCCCTGGTGCTTCATTTAATCTTAGGTTGTTGTGCTCCTCATGGTCCTTGGAGCATTAGGTTATGCCATATAAACACATCACATAGGCTACATGGAGCATCTAGCATTTAAGTTTACATAATTACACTCTATAATGTTTGCATAACAACAAAACTGCCCAATTGCAAGTTTCTCAGGAAATGGCTCCATTATTAAGTAAAGCATGACTATATAGGTGAGGATGTATGAGGATAACCCTAACACATCTATAAACCTATCTCCATCTCATGGTCAAAAGCCCAGAATATGAGTGCAATGAATTTAATGATTACTCAAGGTCGCAGGATGATGGATGATTATTATTCTCTTCTTTGTGTTTTTATGAACTCAGCCAGGTTTTCTACAGTGAATTTTCCTTTTTCTTTTACTGATCACAAGGGCTATAAATTAAATAAAGAAGAAAAAACAAAAATATTTTGCTTGGCAACAAGGCCATAGAGGAAAACCAAGACAAGATTTAGGTGTGCTCAGAGCCTCAGGTTTCCCAAAATAGTCCTCCTTTAGTTAAAGCCCTGGCCCCTCCCAGCTGTGTACTGGAGTCACCAGTGACCCTAGTGCCACTGACTCAGACTGGGACGACGAGGATGACGCCATGTTGCCATAATTTTCTTCTTAATTTAGATTTTTATTGTGGCATAATACACATGACATAAAAGTCTACCATCTGACTCATTTTTAAGTGTATACTTCAGTGGAATTAAGCATTTTCTACTGTCAGGCAACCACCACCACGTCCATCTCCAGAACTCTGCATCTGCGAAACTGAAATGTGAGACTCATTAAGTAACTCCCCATACAAACCACCCCCAGACCCAGGAAGCCTCCACCCACTTGTCTTTATGAATAGGGCTACTCTATATACTTCTTGTAAGTAGAATCATACAGAAAGAGTATTTGTGTTTTTGTGACTGGCTTATTTCAGATAGCTTAATGTCCCCAAAGTTTATTCATATGACCCTCACGATATCATGTCAGAATTTCCTTCTCTTTTCTCTTTAATTTATTCATTAGAGAGCCAGAGAGTGTGCTCCCAATCCACTGATTCACTACCACAAATACCCACGATTGTGAGTGATGGGAGTGGCCAAAGTCTGGAGTCCAGAACTCAATCCAGATCTCCCACATGGGAGGCAGAAATCCAACTACTTGAGCTGTCTTTCAAGGCCTGCATAAGCAGGAAGCTGGAGTCAGGAGTCAGAGCCAGGTACTCCAAGTTGAATGTTGGCACCTTAACACTATGCTAAATTCTCCTTTCCTGCAGTTTTAAGCATTGTAGACACTGCCTGGGACACCCACATCCCATATCAGAGCACCTGAGTTCAAATCTTAGCTCCACTCCCAATTCCAGCTTCCTGCTCAAATGCATACCCTGGGAGGAACAGATGATGGTTCAAGTTGTTGGGTCCCTGCCACCATGTGGAAGACCTGATTGAGTACCTGGCTCCTGGCTTCAGGTTGGTCCAGCTCTAGTTGTTGTAGGCATTCATAGAATGATCAAGTAGATGGAAGAGCTCACTCGCTCGCTCTCTGCCTCTCTACCTTTCAAATAAGTAAGTAAATAAACACATTTTTAAAAAAAGTTAGACACTGTATCCTTTCCTCTCTCTGGCCACTTCTGAGTGCCACTCGCAGACCCCTCTGCTCTTGTCCTGGCTCCTTCAATGCCGAGGTTCTGTCGTAGGTGTCCTCACTCCTTCCTTCATATGAACCCCTCATATCCTATCCCCTCCTCCCATAAACCAGTGTCTTCCATGCCTATAGCACAAGTCCAGCTCTCTCTCTCTCTGAACTTCACCCTCCCACGAGGATATGCACTACCCCTGAGTATCTCTGCTTTATTGTTCTACAGCTCCAGAAAACCCACAAGTCCAAATATGAACAGAAGCAGTGGGGTGATATGGTAAAGAGCAGATGCTCTAGTTAAAGCCTCAGAAGTTTCTGGGTTCAAATCCTGACATCACTGCTTCTTGGCTGAATGCAACCTTTTTTCATGGGTAAAATGGCCTGCTGTTGTTTAGCTCTCAGAGTCCTTTGAAATGAGGTCCAGCTGCAAGTGACTAGCAAAGTATCTGGTAGACAGTCAGCATTTAACAATTATCCCCTATGATGCACAACATTATGGATATCCTAAAAATCACTAAGTGCTTTTAAGTACTTTAAATAAATAAGTGGTTAAAATGGTGAATTTTATGCTATGTGCACTTTATCTCAATAAAACATTTTAAAAATATATCATCTTCGTTCAGCTCAGGTAAACATGGTTTTGGTTAACTGCATGCTCACAAAGTATATGAATGTTAATTTTTCTCTGCAATGGGAGGATTTCCAACTCTACAAAACCAAGGGACAATCCCTAAAGAACATTTTCCTCATGGCAGTAAATTCTGGGCTAGAAGTTCTAGAAACAAAAGTAAACTATAATTTTAAATTTTTTATTGGTGAGAGTCATACAGCCACCTTCCTAAGAAATAAAAAAACTATATTATTTTAATTATTAAAATTATTCTGAATATCAAGCTTTCTTAAAAGGCCGGCATAGGTCCTCCTGGAGAGAATAGCCTCACTTTCTTTGGGTCGGTCAGTCCTGGGAATTCTACCTGCCCCGCACCTTCCCTCTTTCCTCTGGAAATCTTTCTTGATGTCCCCACCCAGCCTGTGATGAGCTCCTCGTGCACTGCTTGCAACTGTAACACAGGCCTCTTGGTGTCCCCTGGGCCCTCCCCTGGCAGCACAGTGCTTTCTGGATGCCCCTACTCACAGGGCCTGTGTTCTACTCCACAGAACACCAAAGTCAGCCTTTGAAAACACATTAAAGGTTCTTTTTTTTCTTGCTATTAATTCTTTTGCCTTTACAGGATTCCCTTCTAATTAGAAAACACATTAATCACAGAGTATCTTCTATAATTTTCATGTCTTGGACTCCCTTCAGCCATTTTGGGGACTTTCTGCTATTATTATTTGGCTACTTATGGGTCTTGGCTATTCTTGGAGCCAGTGTCAAATCTGTAGCCTTTAGGGAAGTGAGATTCTGTGAAGTTTTGTGTGTCACTCATTGCCAATAGCCATGCGGGCCAGGGGAGTGAACAAGGATGTCCATGGCCTTCTCCAAATTCACGTCCAGGACACATCAATTCCTCATTCACACTGCATTCCTTCACACTATGCTTATATCTGCGTGTATATATTTAAGCATCAATGGCATAAAACAGAATCATTAGAGGAATTGTTAATAACATCCTTTTTGTTCTGCCACTGACTGAAAGGGTGCATCAGCTGGCCCCTGAGAAAGCCAGATGGCATGAAGCTAGGCAGGCTTGGCAACCAGGTATCCTGCTCAAGCAGGTGG